AGAGAGAGAGAGAGAGAGAGAGAGAGAGAGAGAGAGGGAGAAGGAGAGAGGATAAGGAAAGGGGGAGGCAAGGGGGGGGCCGCGGCAGACGGGGCGCTTTTATGGCGAGAACACTGCGCCGACGCAGACGTGAACGTCGTCGGGCTTCGGCGCCCCGCTGCGGCAGCGGTGCGCCGGGATGTCGCCGGCGACCGAAGCGTGGCCCATGTGGAAGGAGTTCAGCGCCATGCGGCGCAGCTCCTCCTCCTCCGTGACGTTGTCGGCGACGCCGTCGCTGAAGAGCATCAGCGCGTCGCCTGGGCGGACGTTCCTGACCAGCTGCGCGGTGCCCTGGCGGGCCGCCTGCTGCAGAGCGTCGACTGCGCGATGTTGATCGTCGCGCGCGGTGACCTGAAGCGACCTGATTGCGCTGCCACCGCGGGCGTCGCTCATCTGCGCTCTGCGGCCCACCGCGCGAGAAGCCACGCGCCGCGCTCCCAGCGTCGCGCTGTAGAGAAAAACCACGGCGACGCAGTCGCCCAAGTGGTGCACTGTGAGCTTCTCCCCGACGACGGTGCCGACCGCCACGCGCGCGCTTCCGAACGACGAAGTCAACGCCCCCGCCGTGGTGACCGAATTCAAGAGCCAACCCCGCGGCGGGCGTCGCTGGCACAGGGCTCGGGTGTAAGAAGCGGGCCGCCTCGGCGTCAAAGTCTCCCCGGTCCGTGTTGCGCGCGAGCCGGCGCGCCAGGAAGCGGGGCTTGTCGCGCATGCCCCGCGCCAGACCCTCGGGGGCCATTGACGGCGGGCCCCGCTGACGCCGTCGAGGGCGACGGCGCGGTGGTCGAAGACGGCGGCCATGTCGGCGTTGGCGCAGCCTGTGCTCGCCATCGCGGAATGCTGGGCCGTGGCCGGGTAGCCCGTCAGGGCGAGCACGGCGAAGGCGCGAGCGAAGCGGGAAGTGGAAAGAGAGAGAGAGAGAGAGAAAACAAAAAAAAAGAAAGAGAGCGAGAGAGAAATAGAGAAAGAGATAATGATAGAAAGGATATGTAATATGAAGTGGCGCGCTGAGCTTCTGGCCACGGGAAGCGCTGCGCTTTCGGACACAAAAGCTACGCCAAACAGACATGACGGCGCTCCACTCAATACAAAGCACTGCGTTCCATGGCATTTCAATTGGCAATGGATCCAGGGCGCTGCGTTCTCTCATTGAGGAAACATTGCGCTTCCGACGAGGAAACATTGCGCTTCCGACGAGGACGAGGCATTGCGCATCGATGAATCCAGAACGCTCCGTTCCATTGCGCTTCCGACGAGGAGGAAATTTTGCTTCCGATAAAAAGAAAACATTGCGCTTCCGATAAAGAGGAAACATTGCGCTTCCGACAGAAATCAAGCATTGTGCTTCCGACGGGGGGGAGGCATTGCGCTTCGATGGGATCTAGAACATTGCATTCTGACGACGAGGAAACATGGCGCTTACGAGAAGGAGGAGACATTGCGCTTCGGAGAATACAAAGCACAGCGTTCTAATTACGAGGAATTGTTGCGCTTCCGACACGCATAAATTCCCCAATCAGCGTTTGCACTGAAATGGTATGAGCGGATATTGAAGGATTTGGCGAAAGATCCCGGCCGACTTCGGTTTGTCGGGTTCCACGGTTCCTGGTTCCAGGTTCCCGAGCAAATTTTGGTGGGCGGCGGGGTTCCCAGGTTTCCGGTTCCCGGGTGTTTGGTCCACCTCCTTATCGATCGGTCTCTCCATCCATATCACTACCAACCGCTCTATTGATCTCACAATCGATCCAACTATAGATCGCACGTGGGATCTCACGATCAATCTCACTATCGATCTCACTGAATCGACTTCACGATCGGTCTCGCGATCGACCTTACTATCGTCCTTACGATCCATCCCACTATCGATCTCACTCTCGATCTCACAGTCAATCTCAATACCCATATCACGAATTTTCAAACCATCCACTCATTGGGGTTATATCAGGTGTAATATATACATATGATACCGGAGAAAAACCCAAACACAATATCTTCGGGGCTTTAGGGCTATGGGGCTATAAGGCCATAGGGCTAGAAGGCTACGGGGCTGTAGGGCTACAAGGCCATAGGGCTATAGGTCTAGCGGGCTATAGGGTTATGGGGCTGCAGGGCTATAGGGCTATAGGGCTATAAGGCACACGGGCACCCGGGCACCCGGGCACCCAAGCACCCGGGCACCCGGGCACCCCCGGGCACCCCCGGGCACCCGGGCACCCGGGCGTGCGGCGAAAATCTACGGCAACTGAATCCGCCAGCTCCCCTACAGAGGCAAGCTCTGATTGGGGAATATATATATATATATATAGAGAGAGAGAGAGAGAGAGGGAGAGAGCGAGAGAGAGAGAGAGACTAAGTAGTGATAGAGAGGAGGGGGGAGAGGGGGAGGAAGAGGAGGAGGAGGAGGGAGAGGGGGAGGGAGGAGGCAGGCAAGAAAGGGAGAACGGGGAGAAGAGGGAGGGGAGGATTAATCTCCAACGTGACGGACAATCGTAAACTTCGGAGGGATCGGCCCAGTGTCGAAGCGGGCCCGCGAGGCTCAATAGGCCATGGGTTCCGCAAGCTTGCTTCCCTCTGCAAAGTCGTATGAACTAGCCAGCAGCCAACTGCTCGAATATCAGTCGAGAATAGCCTCGTTTCAGCGTCGAGAAAGAAGTGTACCGAACTGTCAAATCTTCCGACTCCGACCCCTCCTCATCATCCTCCGCCTTCTTCTCCTCCTCCTCCTCCTCCTCCTTCCCCCGTTGAGCATCCGGTCGTGGCCTCCAGCTGATCCTCTTCCTTCTCCTCCTCCTCGTCCTCTTCCTCTTCCCCCCGTTGAGCATCCCGTCGCGGCCTCCTTCTGATCCTCCGCCTCCTCGTCCTCCTCTTCCTCCTCCTCCTCCTCCTCATTCTCCTTCTCCTCCCGAGGAGTCTCCCGTCTGAAAGGACACAGAAACGGCCCTCAAAACAAGGCTCCCGCCTGAGATGTCCCAAACACACACACACACTTACACACTCGTAACGATGCTCCCGCCTGAGAGGTCAACAAAAAGCATGCAAAACGAGGCTCCCGCCTGAGGTCCCACCAAAAAACAAATAAATCCAAGAGCCACTCCTCTCATCCCTGTAACTGTCCTGAGAAAAAACAAAACCCCAAAATCCAGAGGAGAACTCCTCCTCCCACCCGCTGCCTCCTCTTCTTACCCGTCCTCTGGACGATGAGGAAGCGTTCTCCTCTAGAACTTCTTGCTGCTTTTGGTGACAGTTACAGGGATGAGAGGGGTGGCTCTTGGATGCCTTTGGGTTTGTTAGTTTGATGTTTTTGGGGGACCTGTCAGGCGGGAGCCTCTCCTCTTCTCACCCTCCTCCTCCTCTTCCTCTCCCTCCTACTCTGTCTGCGCCTCGTCCTCATGCTGCTCCTCCTCATCTTCTCTGCGTCTACATCTACGCGTGCATCTGCGACACAAGAGGAGACCCAGAAGGAAGCCAACGAAGAAGAACGATGAGGTTGATGCTGGCGGGGGAGTCCATATAAACACATATATATATATATATATATATATATATATATATATATATACATATGCACATACATCTCTACCTGTGTATATATATATATGAATATATACATGTAAATATGAATATAACATACCTATATGTAGGGAGACAACGAGATGGAGAGAGGGAGAAAGAGAGAGGGAGAGACAGAGAGAGAGAGACGGCAAGGCATATCAACATTGTATACTGGCAATGTGCTGCAATAGAGACAGTCCTGCTTTCGCGAATGGCATTCGACACGGGGCGCCCCAAATTTCCATACACCAGAAAATGTCGGTCTCGTGGATTGCGGGGGAGACTTCGCCAAAAGTGCGCAAGCAGAGCAGCTCGGCCACGACGGCTAGCAGATCCCAGGCCGTCCCTGCCCCCACCCACGATCTTCACCCCCTCTCCCTCATCGTCCTTTGTGAACCGCAATCCTGTCCCACCATCTGCCTTCTCGGAAGGACCTCACCCGCCCTGCCCCAACACCCCATCATCCCCTCACCCCTCCCGGCCCAGCTCGAAGCCCCTCACCTACCTCGTGCCCCCTCAGCCGCGCCGCCGCCATCACTCTCGCCGCGGAGGAGGAGAGGAGAAAGAGGAGGGGAGGAGGTGGGAGAAGGAGGAGGACTTCGCCCCTCACAGGGATGAAATAATCCCTGACCAGACCAAGAACGTCGGGGCGATCTGGGCTCGGTCAAGGTTTCTCATCGAGGGGAAATACCTCACCCAACCCGGGAACTCCCCTGCTCTTGGTCTGGCTTCCTGTGACCTGACCCCTCGCCTCCCCCCTGCCCCACCGAAGCTCTCCGGGCCTCGCGCGAGGTCTGCGACGTCCGCCTCGGGGCCGCCGCGGGGGCGGGCGGGACAAGACGGACAGGACGCAGGCAGCGCAGGAAGGGGGGGCACCCGCCTCGGGCGACGTCAGCTGACCACCTCACCGATCCTGGCCAATGCTTCTCAGAGGGCACGAGGGCTTCTGAGAAGCTCTCGCGCCCCCTGAGCAGGCCTGCCCCCCCCCACTTCCCCCCTGGGCTCGCCGCCGGGCGGTGGTCAGTTGACGTCACCCGATCGCTCATCTCCGCGCAGGCGCCGCGCCAGGCGCGCGGGCGGGCGGGCGGCCAGGCTGGCTGGAAAGAGGGTTTGACGCAGTGCATTCGCGCACCTGCAAGGCGCAATGCCCTCCTCCTCCTGTTCCTCCTCCTCCTGTTCCTCCTCCTCCTTTCTTGTTGGACAAACGCTGGCTGGCGCGAGACGTCGCGTCCTGACGGCCGCGATCCGAGAAAATTATCTTGGCGACGGAACCAACACATATGCAGCTGTGCGTGATGTCTCGTCAAAACGAGGACGCAACACCACAGGATGGTTGTAACAAAGTCCGAACGCAGCGCTCAAGATATACCACAAGTGCGTGCAGGAACGAACATAGAAGGGCGTAGAACACTAGACAGGAATAGAAGCATGCAAGGGCACAGAGGAGTGCACAACGGCAGACATGCCTCAAACCTCCCACTGACCAATCTTTCCTTCTACATACAATGCCTCCACCTCCCTCCTGCCCTTATCGAAGGCATGTACTCGTCTGCACAAGGACCTGTATAAGGACTAGGCGTACATGAGCACAGCAGGCTCGATGTCGGTCTAGCCTTTTAACTGGCTGAGGGGTGCACAGACGCTCATCTTTGGAAATCCAATAGGTTCGAGTGAGGAAACCAAGGAACGCAAGAGTTCGAAACACATTCAAAAAGTTCAGGGGGAGTTCAAAAAATGTTCAAACAATTCGAAGTTTGAAAGAGTTCGGAAGCAGTTTGAAAACATTTGAAAACGGTTTGAACGAAGTTAAAGCATTTGGAAAAGTGTATGGACAACATTGGCAGTCGGCAAGCATGCCCTCCCGCCGCAACACGGCGCAGGCGGGCGCGGGCCAGTCCTGGTGTGAGACTGCATTGCCAGCTGGATCCTGGCCGACGAAGCGTTTTCATCCTCTTCATCCTCCTCCCGTACTCCTCCTCCGCAACACCACCACCATCATGAATATCAGCATCAACACCAAAAACAATCATTATCGCCATCCCGCGTGCGCAAGCCCATTGCCAAGGGAGCTAAATTCACAACCGTAGCCGAAGCGGAATCCCGCACGCCGACGCAGCATAGCAGGCACCAGGTGCCAAACCACAGCGCGTGCCACGCAATGCCATGACCGCCTGGCCAAGGAGCTGGTCTGAAAAAACAGAAAAGATATCAAACCTGAACGGTACCGGAGAAAAACCTCTTTACCATGATCTTTGTAAGGCTATAGGGCTATGGGGCTATAGGGCTGTAGGGCTATAAGGCTCTGGGGCTACAGGGCTATAGGGCTATAGGGCTGTAGGGCTATAGGGCTATAGGGCTGTAAGGCTACAGGGCTATAGGGCTATATGGCTATAGGGCTATAGGGCTGTAAGGCTATAGGGTTGTAGGGCTAAAGGGCTACAGGGCACCCGGGCACCTGGTCACCCAGGCGTGCCGCCGAAATCGGCGCCACAGCTAACCTGACCATATGAATCCGCTAGGACCCCTACAGAAGCAAACTCTGATTGGGGAACAAATCGAAGCATGTGACGGAGTGCCCGAACGACGACACGTCAGGACAGGTGAACGAGGTGGAACAATCGGGAGTAGAAGTGCGGCTGGGCAAAAAGGAGGCCAGCATGTTCGTGGGCCAAGGCTGGGCAAGACGAGGCCAGCCTGTTACTGGGCCATGGGTAGCCGCCAGAGGCGCGTCCAAGCTGGCACATTTGAAGGGGGGGAACAATGCGCGGCGAACGAGGCCGCCCAGGTTCGAAGTTGCATACCCTCTCCACCTTCGCCCCTGGCTAGCATGTTAGATGTAAGTTCCGACGGCGCTGGACCAGGCTCAGCGCCTCCAGCCAGGAACGGTCGCGAGTATCGATGGAAGTACCATGGGCGGCAGCGGAAATTGGGCCCGTGGCGCTACTGACGTCTGCGCCCAAGTCCCCACCGTCGAAGTATGCGCTGCACCCGCCGTCGCCTCGCAGATCGCGCCCGTGCCTGCCCGTCCGCTGCCGAGAAACCAGACTCTGCAGTTGCCAGCGCTGGCGTTGGCGCCCAGGCCCCACCGCGCGGGCGCACGGGCCACCTGGGAGACCCCGCGTGACGCTGTCGGGGCGACGGTAATCCCCTCAGCAACGGCCTGTTTCTCAACGGTTCGTGCACGTGTTTCTGTGTTCGCATCATGCTGTGATCTGCGTCGAAAGCTTGAGCGAGACTTCGGCGGGGGAGAACTGCAAGTTCGCTCGCGTTCGAAGCTGTGATATGTATCGGCGCGCAGCGCCGGGGATACTTCCGCTGTGAGCGCGGCTCGAACAAGTGGCGTAGCTCTGAAGCCAGGGGCCCTTCGATAATAAACAGCGGCGACAGGGATACATACAAACAGAGAGAAAGAGCGAGGGATGAAACAACAGGGCCCTCGAGGCTTCTGGGGAATCCCTCTCGGGCCTCCTACATTCCTGAGGAGTGAGCTTGATTCACGCTCCTCCTAGTCGCCGCCTCGGGCGCCTGAGCGGGGACTATTACAAGACACTCGCTGGAAACTTCATTGCAAACGGGAATATGATTATCGGGATAATATGTTGCAAGCGGGCGCCTGAGCAGGGACTATTACAAGTCACTCGCCGGAAACTTCAATGCAAACGGGAAGATGATTATCGGGATAGTATAATGCAAGCGAACGGCTTGCTCGGCATGCTAGCAGGCTGCTCACGGGGCGATTTAACTGGTGCTCTGCACGCACCTGCAACATAAATTCCCAATGCAACGGGCACTCGGCTCGGGTCTTGTTACTTTGTAATAAGGAGGCTATTGGTAGCGGAGCAATGCTTGGCGATCCTCATCACGATCAAACAAACGCACACACAGAGGCTGACCAGGCGAGGCGCGGATGAAACATAAGTGGCTGCCAGCAGGCAGCGTCCGGGCAACAATAGACAAACAGAGCGCGGAAAGCATGCGCGGCTGGCTGGCAGCATCCGGGTGACAATAAGCAAACTAAATGCGGAATGACATACACGGCTGGCTGACAGCGCCCGAATGGCGGTGAAAAAAATCGACTAAATGCGGAGTGTCATGCGCAGCTGCTAGATGCAGCGCCTTAATAGTGGCAAAGCAACAAACCTGATGCGGAGAACCGCATGCGGCAGCTGGAAGCAGCGCGCTGGGTGGCGAAGACAACTAACCTAAAAGCTGGAAGCAGCGCCCGGGTGGCGGCGAATAAACAACAGGCACTACAGGCGGGGACTCACTTATGTGGACTTCTTAGTCCCCTTCGGTGCTAACGCTGACCCCTTGCCTGGCACAGCGCTTCCTATAATTTGCGCCCACCTGCCCTGCAGCTCCTGCCTCGACGTGGGATGCATCCTCGAGAAATCGGGGCTGTGCACCCTGTGGTTGCGGCGAAGCCGCGATGCGTGGCGCTTGCAGGTCCTGCAGGTGGCGTAGACGCTGCGCGGGTTGCGCCCCACATGGAGATTGCGCCCTGCCACGGCGCACGCGTTAATCTCCGCCGGCGACGCTGTCGGCGTGAAGTTGTTCCAGGACACGATGCTGGCCGATGAGGACCTCGTGATAGTGCGCGGCGTACTCGGTGCTGATGATGCGGCGAAACTATCCTGCGGCGAAGCGGGCGATGGCGCTGGTGCTAACGATGGCCTCGGCGTAGCGCTGCCAGCCGAGGAACTGCTCTGCGCTGCCGCAGCCGCAGTCGCAGTCGCCATAGCGTCGGGAATGAAGATGCCCCCGTCGCCATCCTCCTCCTCGGGGATTACGGGCGGCAGGTTGCGGCGTCTGCCCAGGCGGCGTCCATCGCGCCCGGGGTGCCGATCAGCGGTGGCCTTGTCCTCTGGCCGCGGTGGCTGCCTGATGGCGTTCTGGGACACCATGAACCACATGGCCGCGAAAAGACTAAGCCCGATCGTCATGCCCAGGAACATAGAAAAGCAGGCCATGTAGCACATGTACCAGCAATGGTTCAGATCGAACGGCGGTGGCGGCCCCAGGGTCGGCTGACCCTTCACCTTGCCGATGCACGCGGCGATCGCCGAGGCAATCATGGCGGCGCTGGGCTGCCTGGCGCCGATGTTGCGCCTCTTGGCGCCGAGGAACGAAATCAGCAGGCCGGTCTCCATCACCTTCGTGAGTGCGTCTGCAACCATGCTCCAGGTTGGCGCCCAGGTCAAGCACAGCTCGCTATTGGGGTGCACGGACTCCTTGATCATTGTGGCGAGGATGCGGAACCGCTCGTCGGAAGACTGGCCGACGTCGGATTGGATGTGCGTGACGAGGCCCTGGCTGTCGCTAAACACCTCCCCAAGGCGCTCCAGGCTGAGGTCGTCGATCTCCTTGAGCGGCTTCTTGGGGTTGTAGGCCTCGGTAAGAAGCCGGCGGAACCAGGTGTCGATCTCGGCCCCCTCGAGGGCGGCGCACCCCTCGGCAGCCAACGTGGACTTCACGGACCTCTTGACGGTACCGGAGTGCCAAGCGACAGGCAGGCACAGATCGTGGCGACCCCCGACGATATTACGTGGTCCATGGGTGCGGCCCAGGACCATGCCCCACTGGCTCTTGCTGCCATCGATGTTGGCAAACGCGGCGCCGCTGAAGCAAACTGTGGTGCAGGTCTTCAGGTCGAATAGGTTGCGCTTCAGCGCGATGGCGAAGTCGGCGGACCTGCAAACGTAGGTCACCGTCTTGTTAAGTAACTTGGCGTCCGCCACGGTGGCGACGTTGGTGCGCCTGGCAGCCATGCTGACAGGGCAGGCGATGTCGACTCGCGTCTGGACGGCAAGCCAAAGCAGTTGGCCTAGAGTGTGTCGGTAACCTGGCACCTCCTCCATTGACAGTCTGTCCCACGGGGCCCATCACGGCGGCGATCTCGACAAGGTCCACCTGCTTGGCGGAGGTCACCTGCGCGACCCGGAACTCATCGTCCGTCTTGGAGATGATGCGGCCACAGTACTTGATAGTGCCGTCAACCTTCTTGAGGTGCAACTTATTCTCCAAACTGCCTAGGGCGCGGCGCCACTCCGAGGTGTCGTTCCGCTGGGCGATCAAGAAATCGTCAACATGTGAGTGGATGACCGCTGCGAGGCCCCTCGAATCGTAGAAGTAGTAGAGCCCCTTCTCGAGTCCGCTCTCGAGAAGGCCGTGATCCCTGAAGACTTTCTGGGCGTAGAAGCACTACTGTCTGCCGGCATCACGAGTGCCGTAGGCGGCGCCAGTCGCCCTCACGATCTCGCTGGGCAGTGTCCCTGACGGCGGGTTCTTCGCTGGCACGCGAAGCAGCATAAGCCTCTCGATAATGCCAGACTGGAGGTAGGCCGTCATGGCGTCATACGACGTCATGTCCCAACCAGATTGTGAGGCAGCGGCGAGGGTAAGGTAAAGTGCATATCTAGATCCTGTCGGTGCATCCGTGCGGATCTGCGATTTGTCTTCCTGGTATCCTTGAACGACGAGGCGGGCCTTCATGAGGTTGGGCCCATTGCTGGTGAGCACCCAGCGTGCGCCCGCGGGACGCATGTCAGGATTGCGCCTCAAGAGCCCCTTTTCAGCTCCCTGGCCGGTAGCTTCCTGTAGGCCCCGAACTCCGTCCACTTGGACCACTCGACCTTCATCGCCCCGTCCATGAGCTGCTTTTCCTTGTTGGTCGGAGTATCATACTCTAGCTCCTTGGCGGCAGCTCTCCCGGTGAGAAGTACTCCTCGTAGGGGCGGCGCGAAGTGCATCTGGTCTGAGGTGTCCTTGATGTCCAAGTAGTAGTCTACCTCGTTGGCGTCACGGGGCTTCTTGAAGCACTTCGGTAGGTCGTCCAGCAGCTCCTTCCTCTTTGCAGCCCGAGCTCTCGGATCGTCGCGTTCTTGTCGGTCACGTTGAAGTGCCTGGGGAGCATCTTCATGCTGACCA